TGATCCCAGAATCCTGGGATCGAGCCCCACATCAGGCTCCGTGCTCGATGGGAAGCCTGCTTCTCCCACTCCCACTCCCCCTGCTTGTGTTCCCTCTCTCGCTGTGCCTCTCTCTGTCAAATAAATAAAATCTTAAAAAAATAAAAATAAAAATAAAGTAGTTTCAAATTTGGGAATTCAGGATTAACTGCCTCATGAATTCAAAAGTTATGTAAAACATACTATATAATGTTTCAGCTGGGAAATTCAATGAGTTCGTTTTTTTTTAAATGTAATTTTGCTTTCCCCCCCGAGGTGATAATCTACAACGTGAAATCAGGGATTTTGGATATGGCATAACTGATTTCAACATGAATTTGAATTTCTGCTCTAAAATGAAAGAGCTAAAGCATTTTTGTAAATATGATGTAAGACACGGGGTTTTGATAGTAGTGAAAGATATTGAGACTGAAATGTGCTACAACTGGAAAAATGTGTCTTTTATCAATTCATTCACTAAAACTCATATAATCCAAAATTATATAAATCCATAGAAAAGTTTCAACTTAACTTTCTGTGTGGCATTAAAAGAATAATATATGTTGGGGCGCCTGGGTGGCTCAGTCGGTTAAGCATCTGACTCCTGATTTTGGCCCAGGTCATGATCTCAAAGGTCATGAGTTCAAGCCCTGCATCAGGCTCCCCGCTCAGTGGGGAATCTGCTTGATTCTCTCTCTCCTCTCCCTCTGCCCCTCCCCTCTGACCCCCCACTTCTAAAAAAAAAAATAATAATACATGTTTCCCCAACATTAGCTTATTAACTTTATCTGCTTGGTGTCCTAGAATTCTAACTGGATTTTGGAAATTTGAATTCAAGTAGCATTAAGGTAATAGATACCTTGTATTTATGCAAAAGTATTTCCAAAGACTTTATGAAATTGGGGTTATATAATGAAAATAAAAATTGTGTGTGCATGCGTGCATTTGTGCGTATGTAGATGTCTACATTTTGACACAGGAGTCAAGAGTTCAGGTAAAACCTCAAGAGCCTGTATTTAATGTGAATATTTCTTGTTAATCATGTGCCATTCTATGATACCAGTATCTTCTTGATCTCCCATAGTCAAATTAAAGACTTTGCAGCGGTTACTGAATAAAAAAGAAGTCATAGCTAGGAGAATCATTTAGCAAATGCCTACAAAATTTAGTACAATACATAGTATGCCATATGTGTTTAGTTGCTAAGAAAGTTGCATTTTAAAAAAAAGATTTACTTATTTATGTATGTGACAGAGAGAGAGAGAGAGCACAAGCAGGGGGAATGGCAGGTAGAGGCAGAGGGAGAAGCAGGCTCCCCGCTGAGCAACGAGCGGCCATGGGGCTTGGATCCCAGGACCCTGGGGCCACGACCCGAGCCGATGGCAGACACCTAGCCAACTGAACCACCCAGGCGCCCCTAAAGTATGGGTTTTAGTGAATGAGAATGTATCAGTATTGGTTCATTAATTGTAACAAAAGTGCCACATGAATGTAAAATGTTAATAAGAGGGAAAGCTGCGTGGAGGGTATGCAGGAACTCTCTGTACTATCTTTTCAATTTTTCTGTAAATCAAAAACTGTTCTAAAAAAAATAAAGCCTATTTTTAAAAGAAAGCTCTACAAGGCCAGAATTTGTTAAGTTAAAATTTAAAGAAACCTTAAAATACAAAGGATCTAATGTAGTCAAAAAAATGTAAAAGGAAGCAGAATTCATTTGGCTGGAACTTACATGTAAATCTTGTGCTAATAACTATGTGGTTGGTGTAGATGGGCCAGGTAGTGGTAAAGTGAAAATCTGGTACATCACTTTGGAAATCTGAGCCACTTGAGTGGAGCGAGGAAGCAGGCCTCCCTCACATCCTCTTAGGTGCCAGGACTCCCAGCCAAAGCCCAGTGGGAACTTAGACTTGGCACAAGGATAGAATTGAGAAAAGAAAGACTTTAACAAACCCAAACCATAGTATTAACAATTTTGTGTTGAGAGAATCTGCACGTTAGGTATTTTGTGTACTTGTAAAAAAATTAGGGCCTGGTAGAGTGAGCGCCCCATAACTAATTTAAAATGTGTACCTTAAGATTTAGAACTTCGAGATGGAATCTAAGTTTATGTTTGGCACTGAAATAGCTAATGAACCTCTAAGTTCACTATATTTATGGATTTCATTGGTTAGACTAGCAGTAATTATTTAGCACTTAGGAAAGATTCTTAAAAAGGAAGTAGAATTTCAAATGTAGTTAGAAATGTTGTAAATGCTGTAAAGTGTCCAATTAAGTGGATCAATGGGATCAAAGTCCCCTTAAAAGTAAATGATAAAAGTTGATAGACTGACCATTTTTTTTTTTTAA